ACACAGGATCAACATACAAAAAACAATTGTATTTCTTTTCTTTTCTTTTTTTTTTTGCAGTACTGGGGATTGAACTCAGGACCTTGTGCTTGCCAGGCAGGTGCGGTGCCACTGAGGTACATCCCCGGCCCAACAATTGTATTTCTATAAGCAACAAACAGCAGGAAAAAAAATCTAAATGCCATTTATTTATTTATTTATTGGTACTCAAGATCGAACTCGGGACCTTGCGCTTGCGAGGCAGGTGCCAGAACCACTGAGCTAAATCCCCGGCCCCTAAATGCCATTTATAATAGCATCAAAAAAAGAATAAAGAAGGGCCGGGGATTTAGCTCAGTGGTTCTGCCGCCTGCCTCACAAGCGGAAGGACCCGAGTTCGATCCCTTGTACCAAGAAAAAAGAAAAGAAATTATTTGTCCTGTATTTAATGTATTCCCTTGCCAAATCCTTCTGACTACAACAAATGCAAAGGACATAGAATATACATTATTGAAAAACAAAAATAAAATTGGAGAACTTATACTATCTAATTTCCAGACTTGCTTTTATAAAAACTACTCTGATCAATATATTATGGTATTAATAAAGGAAAAGGCGACAGAATAGTAGAACTGAATAGAAAGTCCTAAAAGAGAACCATAAATATACGGTCAATGTTATTCAATGTGGAAAGAACAGACTCTTAAGAAACGGTGCTGGAACTACTGAGTAACAATGTGGTGGAGGAGTGGGAAGGAACTGTAACTCCTATCACAAACTATATACATTCAAATTATTAATTTAAAGTGGGTCACAGACCTGAAGGTAAAAGCAATAACTAAAAAGCTTTTAGGAGGAAAAAACCTAGGAGACAATCTTGCAACTTTGGGGTTGTAAGATAAAGATTTCAGGGCCGGGGATTTAGCTCAGTGGTGCTGCTGTCTGCCTCGAAAGCGCAAGGTCCCAAGTTCGATCCCTAGGACCAAAAAAAAAAAATTGATTTCATAGGACACAAAAACAATCACTCTAAAAGAGGGCCAGGGATTTAGCTCAGTGGTTCTGCCAGGGCCCAAGTTCGATCCCCGGTACCAAAAAAAAAAAAATCACTCTAAAAGAGAAAAACATACTTTTGTAAAAATACTGCTAGAAATGAAAAGGTAAGTCATGAAAAAAATATTTACAACTGAAAAAGACTTGTATCCAGAATATATAAAGAACTATGACTGGACAGTAAGCAATCTAATCTTTAAAATGACACAAAACTTGAACAGACATTCATGAAATAGGATATAGTAATGCTTCCATATCCATGATTTCACTCTTTGTGGTTTTGGTTACCAATGGTCAAACACAGTCCAAAAATATTAAGTGGGAAATTCCAGAAATAAACAATTCATAAGGTTTATTAATAGTACATGTTTACAGTAAACAATGATTATATTCATAATGGGGATTTGGGACATGTACATATACATAACAGATTCTTTTTATTTCTGCTTCCCTCTCTTTCCTTTCCCATTTGCAAGAGCTCTAATAATCTTCTGGATTTTGATGGTGTCTGTTTTGATTTTGCCTTTTTTGCTTCTAACTATATTAATATGGGTCTATTCTTTCCTTCTTTTGATAAGATTGTCTAAGGGTTTGTCTATTGTGGTTGTTCTTTCAAAGAACCAGTTCTTTGATTCACTGATTTTTAAGGCCAAATTTCATTAATTTCTGCTCTGATTTTTGTAATTGTTTTGTTTTTCTAGGACCTCAAGATGCATGATTAATTCATATGTTTAAACAGCTGTTATTACAATGCATTGTGATAACTGCTCTGTTATTTTATTATTGTTATTCTCTTTCTCTAACCTGTAAATTACACTTTACCATAGGTATTTATGTACAGAAAAAAAAAAAGCAGAATATAAAGCCAAAGTACTGCAGTGGATGGGCAAAGTGCTTAAATCACCGCTTCCCCAGGGTGCCCAAGAACTGTCCTACTTATGAGAAAAACAGATACAAAAGCTAAAGTTCCTCCTGAAATGTATGGCCTTGTGTCTAGTGTTTTGATTCCATCTTAAATGATGAAGTCTTGTTCAATTAATTTTTCTTAGAGACTCAAATGATCATTCTCCATTTCCTAATTGAAACGATCAAAAGTTTACTGTCATATTTATTTTATCTAAAACACTTGTTAAATTTTATTGAGCTGTGACCTCTAAATGTAGACCTATAATGTATGAAAGCTCTATTTTTTAAATGGCTATTTATCTTCACTCTCAAGACAACATATACTTTTCCTTCTACTATTGCTACAAATATTCCAAAAAGTGAGTAGGTGGAAAGAAAGGATTAAAAAAAAGTTACCACAGAAAAAAATTATTGCAGCTATATCAAATAATTTAAATCATTTAGTAATACACTAAAAGATATCACATTATATAAAAAGAAAAACTAGTCTCTTTTCATAGTTACAAAGGAAACATTTGCAATATAACAGACTTATATCCAGAGTACACAAAGAACTACTGCAAGTAGATAATACATAACTTGGCCTTAAAAATGACATAAAACTTAAACAAACATTCACAAAAGAAGATAAACAAATGGCCAACAAGCCTATGAACAAGTGCTCAACATCGTGACTTATCAGAGAAATGCAAATTAAAACTACAATAAGATAATACTTCATATTCCCTTAGAATAGCTAATACTAAAGACTGGCAAAATATTACCACAAAAAACTACTACTATTGTTAGGATTCAAATGATTTTGGTCACTTAATAATATAATGATTTAACATTGCTGAAAAGAGAAAACATAGCCGAGCATGGCGGCACACACCTGTAGTCCCAACACTCAGGAGGCTGAGGGAGGAAAATCGCTGTTAGAGGCCAGCCTGGGCTACACAGAGTTCAAGGCCAGCCTGAATTACATAGCAAGACCACTGTCTCAAAAAAAAAAAAGAAAAAAAAGACAGACAGAGAAAACATAAAATTTGTAGAGACAGAGAGCAGATTAGTGGTTACTAGAACTGGAAGGAGGGAAGACGAGGCCAGTGATAATGAAAGGATATGGGGTTTCTTTTGAAGTGATATAAGTATTCTAAAACTGGCTGTGGGGATGGGTGCACGAAACTCTGACTACACTAAAAACCACTGAATTGTACACATGAAATGGGTGAGTTTATAATGTGAACTTTATCTCAATGATGCTGTTTTTGTTTTGTTTTGTTTTTTGGTTGGGTTTTGAAGTGCTAGGGATTGAACCCAGAACCTCACACATGATAGGCACATGTTCTATTACTACCTACATTCTCAGCCTGATAATGCTTTTTTTTTTGTACCAGGGATCGAACTTGGGTCTTTGCACTTGCGCAGCAGGTAGCGAAACCACTGAGCTAAATCCCTGGCCTCCTGATAATGGTTTTATTTAAAAAAAAAACTACTGAGATTTTAATTGGGATTGCATTGGAATCTATCAATTGTGAGAAAATATCTCTACAATAAATTCAACAAATTCAAATAATATAACAAATGAAATTATAGTTCTCCATTTATTTGGGTCTCCTTTAGTTTCTCTCTATAATGTTTTATAAAATTCCACACAGAAGTATTACACATATTTTATTAGATTTATCCCTGGGTATTTTATATTTCTAATGCCCTGCACTGAATTTTAAAATATGTGATAAGAAAATTAAAAGAGCAGAGTATGTGTATTAAAATTTCGAAACAAAAAATCACTACGCACAGGTCAAACAAATACTTTGTTCTGATTTTAAAATTTACAGAAAAATCATACAAATACATCCAGTTACATATTTTAAAATACCATACTTATGAATAATAGTACAAATACTTAAAACCTTCACATATTCTGGAAAATTCCATGGCAGGTGGATACCACAATAAGCAAATGCTTCTTCATTGTTATTTGTTACATGCCCTAGTTTACAGTAAAAATGAGTCATTGCTTAATTATAAGCCTCCATATTTATTCATATATATTGATCAGTAAAATTCATTCATAGCAAAGAAATCTTACTTAGTGATAGCTAAGTACACATCTAAAGCCAGTAACACTCAATATGTTAAAAAATATCATCAGGGGCCGGGGATTTAGCTCAGTGGTTCCGCCACCTGCCTTGCAGGCGCAGGGTCCCGAGTTTGATCCCCGGAACCAAAAAAAAAAAAAAATCATCATACTGATGCGATAGAAACCTAATTATCTCATCAAGGTAATTGAAATATTATTATCTAATTACATTAATTCATCCCTAAATGCAGTCTTTAGAGTTTTTCTTTCATAAAATAATTGTTTCCTTCTAAAATAAAGACATAAATCTCACTTAAGGTTCAAGTTAACTTTGCATTGTTATTTCAATACAATGTGTTGTGGAGTTATTTCTACAAAAGATGGTTAGATAAAAAAATATCTCTAAACGAAATTAGCTTTAAAACTGTTAGTTCCTTTTTTTTTTTTTTTTTTTGTGCCGGGGCTCAAACTTGAGACCTTGAGCCTTCAAGGCAGGCACTGGAACCACTGAGCTAAATCCCCGGCCCCAAAACTGTTAATTCTATAATAAGGAAATAGCAAAACCAAAAAATGTATAAGCTAAAGGACTTATTAATAGTCTACATAAGAGGACTCTGCTTTCACTCCAGAATTAGCAAAGTCCCTAAATATAATTCATACTAAATTTCTCAAAAATACACTTGATCTTTATTGAAAACACAAACTCATATGCTTCTGAATTAATGTTATATCTCTATTAATAATCATATGATTTCACTGCTATTAGAATAAAAAATGTGAAGCCATTTCAGAAGGCCATTTATAATTCTAAGATATTCCAGACATTTAAAAAAGTATCCAAATAAGCACTATGTTCATAAACAGATCTATTTTTTTTATTGGAATGATGTGAAAAAATAGGATTTTATCTGAGACTCTTAAAACCTAAGTAACCCAGTAATTATCAATCTATAATAAACTATAATATGTTAATGGAAAGTTGAGATGAAAATGTTACCTGGTCAATGATAGAATTCAGCTTGGTAAGTAACAGAAATCCTCGCCCATGGACAAGGTACTGTCCAAGGGTTGCCATGTGTGTCTCCTCCTCCTCCTCTTCCCTGGCCTCCACCCTCCGGACCACTGCATTGCAAAGCCGGTTGACATCAGTCAGAAATTCACGTGCCAGTGAGTTACTGTTGGTGCTCATGACCGAGCTGTAACAACAACAACAACAAAAGATTAGAAAGATGAATACAAACACACATTTAAACTATCTGTTCTGTTGTTTGTTTTTAACTGAAGATTGACTTAAAATTACTGGCTATTGGTCTCCAACCCTGTACAATTTTCAGATATAGTTCTAATCTACTTCATACTCCTTATTCTAATTCTTGCATGGCAGAAACAAGGTCCAGGTTTGAAATGCCTGAGCACAGCCAGGAAGAGGTTAATGAAGGTACCTATAGAGAAGACACTAGTGAGTGGTGGCAATTACTTTCTCTCTTAATTAGAATTTTAAAAACCACATTACTTACACAATTGTTATTGCTTTAAATGTTTTAAAACAGATAAGCTGACTTTAAAAAATATAAACTGTTTTTCACTTGATAGTGCCCACAATCTGAACCTATCCTCCAGTGTGGGAGGCAGAAAGGGAATTTCCCATAAGGTGAGTAATACTGAAGAATTCTAGCAGCTAAAGTTACACCACTTCACTTCTTACTACATATTTGAATCAAATAAAAGGCAATCTGACATTTTAAGACTAAGGAAAATAAAGAATAAGGCCAAGCAGACAGAGAGGTGAAAACATAGATACAAATATTGAGAAAAATGTATAAATACTCAAAATGGAAAAATAACAAAATATCCAAAGAGTTTCAAAAGAGTTTTACTTTAAGACTAAAAGTAGTTTTGAGATATCTAGTAACTTTTAAAAGTTTTTTAACTTAGAGATGGTCAATGATGTAAGACATACATTGCCTAGTCATCCTTCACTGGCTTTAGGGGAAAGCCTGCACCACAGTCCTGGCTGAGAGGGCAGTGGGCCACATTACTGCACCTACTGCAAAGAGGCAGGGCCAAGCTCTGGGCTGCAATCAACAGAAGCACACCTGATTCAAGAGTGGCCAACATACATGTTGGGCAAGGATGCACAGTGCAGCTTGCAGAGGGAAACTGGCAAATCAGATTTGTTTGCATTTTCTGTCTGTCCCTCTGTCTCTCTCTGGAATTTGAATTAAAGGGACATAGTTAAATGATAAAAGTTCACATAGAAAATGGGCCTGTGGTGGTCATTATGACATAAGTGAGGCTCAGAAGAAGCCAACTGGGTAGAAAGAGACCAACAAGATGCAAAGAGAAGTAGATTAAACATGAAAGCAAGAGGCCAGAGAAATCCCTCTACTACCTTGATTCCTTCTCATTCTAGGGCCTAATAGCATAACTCCTGGATTCCTTCTTGAATTCTATACCTAGGATATATATAGCGGTACCTCTGTTCACAAACTTAATTCTTTCACAATTCTGGTCACAAACTGAATTGGATGAACCAAATCAAATTCAGTGGTGAGATGCCATTGTATAGGTTATGGTTTATATGCAGATATCCCCCAAGAGCAATATATATAGGATATATATCCTAGATCAGTGATGGTGAACCTTTTAGAGACAAGTGCCCAAGCTGCAACCCAAAACCCACAAAGTGCCAACACTGTAATTAAACCTGAATACTGAGGTTTTAGTTTAGAAAAAACAGCTCATACATTAACATGTGTGCCATAGGTTTGCCACCACTGTCCTACATATATATATCTTCTAGACATACATTTCACAAATATTATTTTGATATCATTTAATATTAGCAAAAAGAAAAGTATAAAAAATGCACATGACTCATTTCAAAATTCAGCATTAGGGGCCACGGATTTAGCTCAGTGGTTCCACCACCTGCCCTGCAAGCACAAGGATCCAAGTTAGATCCCCAGTACCAAAAAAAAATAAAAATAAAAATTCAGCAATAATCTCTATTATATATAATGTTGGGGCTGGGGATGTAGCTCAATAGCACCACACCTGCCTGGCAAATGTAAGGTCCTGAGTTCGATCAGGACAGTACAGGAAACACACACACACACACACACACACATATAATGTTGGTTCCCTATAAACTTCCGTAAAGTAAAATTATTCAATGAATCAACCTAGTTTATATTTAGTCTATATTTATCTAACTTTATTAACACATATTACCTAATCTGTCATTGATTTTAGGATACAGAATTACTAAGTGCATCACTGAAAAAAAAAACATTGCCACTGAAACTATGATGCAATGCTTTCTCACTCTTTGGGCTATCAGGACCATTTATGATGCAGCATTTCTTAAGCACTGCACTACCATTACTAGGATTTTCTTCCAAAGTAGCTCACACTATTCTGTAAATTTTAATGTTGGTACTTTCTTGAGCCTCAGTGTTTCAGAAAGCAACAAGAAAAACACTTAAAACTCAATAGGTATGGTACCAATAAACACACAGAACTCAGCTGAATGGTTATTACCAAGTTCATTCGGGAGCAGCTTCTGACAGTGCTTATAAGACACTATCTACTGCAAAATACACTGCCACTTTTAAAATATTAAAATGTAAAAAGCTTTAAAAGTATGGTGATAATTAGGCCTACATTCTAGAAATTAATATAATTGAAATTGTTATGGTTTGGCATGTCTCCCAACATTTATGTATTTGAAACTTAATACCCAATTCATATGTTAACTGTATTTGAAGGTGGGGTCTTTGGGAGGTAATCAGGGTTAGATGCGGTCAGGAGCAAAGGATTCCCATGATGGAATTAGTAACTTTATAAGAAAAGGAAGATGAATAAACACACACATGGACTATTACCTGCTTTGTTTCATTTAGACATCTTGAAAAACTTTTCACATGAGCTCTTATTCTTTTCTTCATTTTTTAACTTTTTAAATTAAAAAATAATTATGTATCACATACAACATGATGTTTCGAAGTATATAGTCTGTCAAAAAGTATGCATCAGAAAAAGGAAAATGTATATAAATATTTTAATAGTAAATTTATTGAGACATCATGAGATTAATACAAGTTACCTGTGGCCTCTGCAATTACAAGAGGTACTCAAAGTGGTGGCCATTAGCTTCCAGACATTTATTAGTATGGTGAACTGCTGAAGTGTGTATTCATTTTTTTGACAGACTCTGTATATTGTGTTATGGTGAAAACTAGCCAATTAATAAATGCACTACGGGCCGGGGATTTAGCTCAGTGGTGCCACCGCCTGCCTTGCAAGCGCAAGGTTCCGAGTTCGATTCCCAGTACCAAAAAATAAATAAGTAAATAAATAAATGCACTACTTCACACAGTTAAGTTATGGTCACAACACTTAACATTCATTCTTTCTATATTTTTTCAGAATATATCATTTACAGACACCATATTGTACAATAAGTCCCTATTATCTACAGTTTATAAAAATTCTGAATTCTCCTGTGCAATATTCATAAAAAATTCCCATTCTGTCTGACTACCTAAGTTAGCACTAACAATACTAGTAGGGGTGGTAGGGTGCACTTCTGCTTTGCACATTAAATGTTCACTTCTTCCTAAAAGGAATACTGGATTTAATCAAATTCCTTTCAACCATAATAAACCCCAAATGAAAAGATAAGCATTGTATTTTCTTTAAAATTTTCTAATATTCCAGGGCCAGGAATTTAGCTCAGTGGTTCCGCTGCCTGCCTCGCAAGCGCAAGGTCCCAAGTTAGATCCCTGGTACCAAAAAAAATTTTTTTTCTAATATTCCATATACTCAGGAAAGTACAAAAAATATACAGCATGAGGTTATAGCTAGCACCCATATCTGGAAAGTATTATTACAGTATGTTCAGGTCACTTTGTGTGTGCACACATATGTGTTCATGCAAGCGTAAAGAAATCAAATCTTACAGTTACAGGAAATCTGCACCCACACTTCTACCCTTGTTGTTAAGCATTGTACGACACACCCTTATATTTTTTAACATGTTTATAGTTCTAAATATATTTAATACTGTTTTAACTATTTAAAAATTATATAAAAAGCATATTTTATGTAGTTATAACTTTGCTTTTCCCTGTCAGGATTATATTCATTTCTTTAAACTGTCCTGCAATATGTTATAGTCTGAATAAATCACAATCTTGGGCCAGGGATGTAGCTCAGTGGTGCCGTGCCTGCCTCACAAGCACAAGGTCCTGAGTTTGATCCCCAGTACCAAAACAAAAATCTGTATGTTCATCTCTACCAAGGGGAAGTTCAGCTGTTTTTATTGCAGGGTTCAATTAATGCCATTAACTATATAGTTTCAAGGATCAAGTGTTCTGGCTGCTAATATTTATTACATTGGATACTTACCAGTCTTTCAACACTTTTGTAACATTTAGTCTTTATAATTTGGGTTCATAAAGTAGAATAAAGCTTCACCTATTAAAAAAAAAGAAACATATTAGTGGGAAACCTATTAAATAATTTTAATAAAGTTCTGACATAAAAATCAGTGACCAGTCTTTTTATGTGATGCATGAAACCACTACCAATTTTTTTTTTTGTAATCTCAAGAGCACACTACAAAAATGCATAGCTTCAAGAAATGAGTTAAGAGAGTGTCCTGCACACAGTGCTATCAACCTAATCATAGCTCTCTACCCTTCCTCTCCCAACTCCTAACTTACATGCTCCAGATGAGTCACAACTTAACTACAAAGATAATCATACTGCTGTCAGTCTTCTTAACACTGGATTCTAGGAGGTGGTTGAATATCACCTAAATACACCAAGAAAAAAGGTGTTCATGTCCAAGTTCCTATGGATAGCCAAATTATTCTTCTCCCATTGGGGTGTTAAGGTTTACATACAGATATCCCCCAAGAGCCTCAGGTACTCATAGGCAGGCTTTTGGAAGCTAATTGGAATATGGAAGCTTACAGCTGGCTTGCTATTAGGAGGTGGCGCCCAATTTGAACAGGCAGGTCACTGAGAGCATGGCCTGGAAGGGTTTATCTCCCTTCCTAGCTTTACCTTTGTTCTTTCTGCTTCCCCACCACCGTGCTGTGAGCAGCTCTCTTCAGCTCTTCTCTGGCATGCACCTCTGCCATGCCATTCTGCCTTGGATCTAGCCAACTATGGACTAAAATGTGAGTTAAAATAAACCTCTCCTCCTTCAAACTTTGGGTCTTGGGTATTGTGTCGCAACAACAAGGAAAGTGACTATGGCATGAGGTGAAAGTTATTTGATGATATATGAGAACTCAAAATACTAAAACCAAACAATGATTAACACAAAATTTCATATCCTTGAATTCTCTAATGAATTCAACTTTTGGGTACAATACAATGAAAACTATTTCTAGAATACTAACAGAAAGTTTCTGCTTCTGGAACAGCAACAAGATGCTTCTCTTTAGTTAGCTGTTTTCTCTTCTCTGTAGTTTTTACCAGAAAGAAACATAAAAAATATTTCCTTATTATAGTTATGTAGGTTTATTTTGAATCATAAGTTTTTTGAAAACAGTGACCATTTTTTAAAATGCTCAAATCTGAAGAACTACCAAGCTCCTTTCAGCTAGGCAAACAATTCCTAAACCACGTATTAGGTATTTCAGGATAAAGCAGGCAGGAAATGGGACAGAGCTACAATAGACACACAGTTTTATGTAAATTAGGAAAATACCTATTTCTAGTGGGTGCAGCCCACATCAGGATACACCATTGCTAAAGCACAGGCTAGCTTTCAGTCTCCCTTGCTCACTCCATGGACCAGCACCAGTGGTTAGTGCACCAACCACTCAACCACACAGGAACAGCTGTGGGATACCTTTCATGCCTGTTTCTGCTGCCTCCCAGGCTAATCAAAACCATGCATATATTCTTAACTCTAAAATTATGTACAAAGAGAAGGAAAAAACGGAAACAAATTCTTTGTAAATAAAGAGGGGAAGAAGGGTTGAGGGAGGGGAGGGAGTTAGCGAAAAAAGAAGAATCAAGATATATTATGCACAGGTACAAATGATGAATGTGGTCATTATGTATATCTAAAATGAACCAATAAAATTAACTTTAAAAATAAATAAAATAATGGAAGAGGAAATTATTAGTCAAATTATGAGTCTAAAAATAGTATTCTATTAATTGTTCTGATATAACATCCTCTATCTTTGGACTACTACAAGGTAAAGCCACCTAGCTTACAATGCTTAAATGATTCCAGATAATTCAGTGTGGCTACTGAATTGAAAGCTGGCAGCCAACTAAAACTGTTTTGCTATTTTATTGAGAGACATTTTCTAGGCCAAATTGATGGATTTCTATAATATTCTTAAATTGGCATGGCTTCTCCATGTCTGTGTTTGCAAGCCCAGCTTGGATATCCATGAAATTTCATTTTACCCACAAACAATTCTAATGCCAGGAGTCAGCTGTGCCCTTCTTGATTGTCCCACCTCTCTTTATACACAACTATAATCTAATTTTTATCACTCAATATTACACTAGGTATTCATAAAGTCTAGAACTGTAAATATATTTTAATAGATTTAAAATGTCATTAGGGAATTATACATATTTTTGTCTGTTTCCAAACTATACTGACACCCTGTAGTTAGTTACTTGTCTATGTAACTATCTTACCCATGAGGTCACAAGCTCCTTAAGGCCAAGGATCCTATCTTACTATTTTTTGCCTTTTTACTGTTATGATGCCAAAATTTAAATTCAACATTACTATAATTTTCCATTTCTAATACAACTGTTACAATAAAACTTGCCCCAGCAATAGTCCTAGAACATTTATATTTCTAACATTTACCCAAAATGAAAAGTATAAAAAATGCCTATAAAAATATAAATCATGTTCTCAGAAAAATAACTTTTTCTCATACAGTGACTGGTAAAATGTAAAATAAGAACAAACTAATTAACAATAACAGCAAAAACCAAAACAATAAAAACCCTGATTTAATGTATTAGCATCAACTTTTAGTTTTACAGCATTAGAAATTTCATCAATGTGTTAATGTAATTCAACAAATGTTCAGTGAGTATTTACTATATGCCAGCTATTATTTCAGGCACTGAGTATAGAGCAAAATTAAAATCCCCACCTTCATGGATTCTAGTGGGGTAGAGAAAGATAAAAATATATATCATGCCAGGCAGTGCTAAGTGCTATGAAAAAAGTAAAGCAGTGTAAGTGTACAGAGTGAATAGTAATGCTATTTTAGTGCTTGCTTCGGCGGCACATATACTAAAATAGTAATGCTATTTTAGAAGGTCTGAAGAGGTAAACTTTGAGCAAAGGCTTGAACAGAATTTTTTAAATTGGGTCAAGTGGGCATCTGAAAAATGTGTACTTCAAGGTACTGAGATGATGTCTGCCTAATGTATTGGATATTAAATGCGAGAGATAAGTCAAGAGTGACTACACAGACAGAATGAGAAAAGTCATTCAGTCCTACTTCTCAGGAACTGGAGTACTATGTGAAAAGAGGAAACAGAAATGCTTCCCTAGAAATATTTCTTCCTCAGAATGCACCCCCTAAAAAAAAGACTACTAGGTTTTCCAGCCTATGAGAAACTGCTGGACCAGTGATTTAGCTCAGTGGTGCCGCTGCCTACCTCGCAAGTGCAAGGTCCCGAAAAATAAAAAACTAGAATAGTACTGCTTACTGGTAGGTAAGATGACAGAAGTGCAAGGTGAGAAGGAAAATAGAGTTCCATTTCAGCTATATTACATTTCCAGGACTATTAGAAACCAAGTAAAGGATGTCAAAAAGGCAGCCAGAGATACAAAACTGGTGTTCAAGCAGGGAGGCTGGAACTGGTGAACTAACTGGGGAATCCTCAGCATGCAGGTATATTTCTAAAGCCAGGAGACTAGCGGGGATGAAATAACCCAGAGCAGTGCTATCCAAAAGAACTTGCTGAGATCATGGGACTGTTATGTAATCCCTGCTATCTAACACAGCTGACAAAAGCTACATGTGGCCAATGTGGCCACAATGAATGGTTGGAACTTAGAGAATGAGTATTGGTCTAGGACCAAGCCCTGCCTGGTCTAAGCCTGACTGAAGCTGGGAGAGGAGCATCCAGCACAGGAGGAAAAGAAAAAAATAGCAAGTGATGTGGGAGAAAAATCAGAATGGTATCTCCAGGACCAAATGCAGAAAATGTGAGACAGAAAAAAGTGAACAATCATACAAAATATTCCTAAGTGACTGAGGAGAGGAAGACTGAGAATTGACCATTGGGTTTAGCTATATGGAAGTACCTGACAACCTTGCTAAGAATGCTTAGGGGATTAGGAAAGAGTAATGAAAAAATGAAAGCAAGCAGTTTAGACAGCTCTTTTGGGAAGTTCTGACATAAAGTATACAAGGAAATGGGGAATCACTTGAGGGGCTTGGGATACGAAATTTTTTTTAAAAGACTGACATTGGAGGGCCAGGGATTTAGCTCAGTGGTTCCAGCACCTGTCTCGCAAGCACAAGGTCCCAAGTTCGATTCCCGGTACCAAAAAAAAAAGCCTGACATTGGAGCATGTTTGTAAGCTGATATAGCCTGTTGCTCCAACAGAAAAAAAAAAGTTTATTAAAAAAAACTAGAATGAAAAGAGATATTTGTATGGTGGCACACACCTACAATCCCACTTCTTCTGAGAGGCTGAGGTAGGAAGATCACAAGTTTGAGTCCGGTCTGAACAACTTAGGAACACAGTGAGACCCTGTTTCAAAATGAAAAATAAGGAATGGGAAAGCAGCTCAGGGCTATGGCTCTGGGTTCAATTTCTAGTAGCATACACACACAGAGAGAAAGAAAGAGAGAGAAAGAGAGAGAGAGATTTCTATAAACAATAAAGGCAGGGGCCAGGGATTTAGCTCAGTGGTTCTGCTGCTTGCCTCACAAGAGCAAGGACCCGAGTTCGATCCCTGGTACCCAAAAAACAAAACAAAACAAAACAATAAAGGCAAAATAAAGAGAATCCAATGTATAAGTGGAAAAACAGTGACAGGTCTCTAATAGGATTAAAAGGATGTCAGAATACATGAGTACAGATGTAGGAAGATTACACTATTTGGCAATAGAAAACCAAAAAGTCCTTTTTCAGTGCTTCTATTTTCTTGGTGAAATAAAAAACAAGGTTACTAGCTGAGAGTGAGAAGTGAGGAGGAAGTGTTAAAGTACTCAGTGTAGCAGGGTAAAAAACAACAGCCTCTAAGAGATTTCCCACTAAGGTCCCAATGAGTTTAAGGTAAGACTGAGTTGTGGTGTTTAATAACAGTAGCCATACTATAATCCAATTCTCCTTTGTGTCCCAAAAGATAGTGATAGAATGACTGCCAAATACACCAGGGAAATCTAGACATGTACTATAGCTGAGGCATTCTGCTAACACACATGTGTAGCAATCCTGTCAAAAGTAGGAACTG